AGCCCTTAATTCGAACTAGGCGTTAGTCCTCATAGAATGAGGTTTACCTAGTTCAAATTAAGCGCTCCGCTAGTTTGAATTAAGTTCGAACTAGCGGAGCGCTAGTGTAGCGCCTATCAAAGTTAATTCGAACTAATGTCTGTTAGTTCGAATTAACTTTGTAGTGTAGACATACCCTCTGAGACACATGTTTAAAGAGGTCCCCCTGGACAGCCATTTCTCAGTTTTTAATGCCTGCTTGCCTACCTCTCCGAGGGACAGCAAAGCATTTGCAGTGCATGCTCTGTTTGCCCAGCTTTTGGACACCACAGTACGCTACTTGCCATGGAGCTGCCACTGGGCAAATGATGGCCCCACGTTGCCATGCTGCAGTTTCTGCAGCAGTTTGTGCAGGTTGCCTTCATGGTCCTGCAGGAGCTTGATTCTGAGCTCATTGTTGAGACCCTCTGCCTGTGTGCGGGAGCAACGCCCTTGCAACTGCACCCTACAGTGGAGAGAAGGTTCTGGAGGCTGGACACCAGTTCTGACTGGTGGGATCAGCTGGTGATGGAGTGGTGGGACGACCAGCAGTGGCTCCAAAACTTCTGCATGAGGAAGGCCACCTTCATGAAGCTGTGTGCCTGGCTTGCCCCTGCCCTCCAACTCTGACGCCCAGATGTGACGTGCCAGCCCCCCGGAGAAGCGTGTTGCCATCACCGTCTGGAAGCTTGCCACCCCAGACAGCTATCACTCTGTGGGCAAACAATTTGGTGAGGGGAAGTCCACCGTCAGGGCCCTCCTCATGGAGGTAAGGCACTCTTGGGCTGCAGTCCCTGGAGGGGGTGATACTGGAAAGGGGCACCATAGGAAAAGAAGGGATTGGAAGGGAAGCCCCGTCTCTAGGGGCCTTCTGCAATCGCGCCCTCAACACAGCCTTGCGGGAGGGTGGCCTGATAGGGTGCTTGGGGAGGGGAGGAGGCAGGAACCTCCCAAGGGCTCAGACACCCCCTTTGATTCTGGGTGTGTGTGTGTGTGTGTGTGTGTGTGTGTGTGTGTGTTGTCTCCTTGTGCAAGTGATGAGTGCCATCAACTCCGTCCTGCTGCGCAGGGTCATCCACTTGGGAGACCTGGACCCTGTTGTGCCCGGCTTTCCCAACTGTGGGGGTGCCATAGATGAACCCATATCCCCAAGACCCCAGAACATAGAGCCACCCAGTGCATTATAGGAAGGGCTATTTTTCGATGGTTCTGCAGGACCTTGGTCGACCATCATGGACAGTTTACAGATCTTTTTGTTGGGTGGTCGGGGAGAGCGCACGACGCCTGTATTTTCAGAAACTCTAGCCTGTACCAGAAGCTGGAGGCTAGCACATTCTTCCGCCAGCCTGACTTTAGGGTCGGGGACATGCAGATGCCACTGTGCATCATGGGGGACGCAGCCTATCCCCGCATGCCATAGCTTATGAAGCCCTACACGGGCCACTTGGAGCCGAGCAGGGACTATTTCAATGCCCACCTGCAGGACCCATATCCAGACCGAATGCACCTTTGGGCATTTGAAGGTGAGATCCAGGTGCCTCCTGACCTGCCTGGATGTGGGGGAGCACAACATCCCCTAGGTGGTCTCGGCCTGTTGTGTTCTTCACAACATTGTGGAGAGCAGGGGGGAGGCCTTCTTTCCGGGGTGAGGGACAGAGCCTGGCAGGGGGAGAGAGGCCACCAAACAGCCATGCACAGCTGCCATCCTGCAGGCCCGTCAGGTGGGGGTGCACATCGGGGAGGCCCTGAGTGAGTTTCTCTGAAGGACCCCAGTAACTCTCCCCAGGCCTCCCCACTAGGAGCCTGTGCCTTGCCCCTCTGCCTTTCCCACAACAACCCCTCCCTTTCCCTCCTCCCTTTCCTGTACAGTGAATAAAAAACAGTTGTGTGTTCAAAATCAAATTTGTTGTGGTGTTTTTATTTTTTTTTTAAAGAAAATAAACTGGGGGTGAGGGGGCTGAGAACCTGGATGGGGGAGAGAGGGAGCTTCAGAGCCGGGGCTGAGCATCTCCCTGGTCTGCTGGGGGGGGGGGGGGGGGGCAGGCATGGCAGGGCGAGTGGGAGCAGGGACGGGGACCAGGTACGCCATCATCTCCCAGATAGTGGCACATATATTGTGGCCCTGCTGCACCAGCTCTGTTCATATTTGAGTCCTCCATTGGGCGTCATCCCAGACCTTCTGAGCCAGGGTCTGCTGCATGTCCCACAGGATGGCCACGTGTTCCCTCATAAGGTTCTCCTGCACACTTCAGTGCCTGCAGCTCCCCCAGGGTTGGGTAGCTGACTCGCCTGCTGGTGATTGCCCCTCAGTCATGGCTGATCCAGCCATGGAGAATAAAGAGGGAGAGGTAGTCAGTCATCCATGCAGACACTGTTCCTGAGGCTTTTCCCTCCTCTGTGAGCAACAGTCCTTGGGCCAGAGGATGGTGATATCCTAGGAGCAAGGCCAAGTATGGCCTGAATAGCAAGCCCTACCTCACAGGGACCCCAAGATGCTGAGGGGATCGTGTTTCTCACCTCTCCCTCCCCATCCCATGCACAAGCAAGCAGGGGAAGTGTCCAGCCACACTGGGATTCCATGGGTGAGAGAGGGGCCTGGAGCAGCCTGGCCTTCCATTGGGGCTGCGCACACACCTACATCTGGCAGCGCTGTCCCCTGGAGCAGGTCATACCTGTGGGCCATGTGAGGCACTCCTCAGTCTGTGTGCATGTGTCCTTGTCCCTAGCCTCCTTCCAGAGGTGGCTGGTGGTGGGAGGGCACACCCCTCTACCCCCTTTGAGTCAGACGTATGTGTGGCCTCCCCAGAGCCTGTGAGCAGGAGCCCGGGGGGGTGCTCCGGGCCTGCCTCCTGGGGCTGCATGGCGCTGCATGTGCATCCACATGCACAATCTGCAGCGTGAGGGCCAGGCCGAGAAGGCTGAGCGACAATTGCACCCCATCCCCTCAGCGCCCGCCTCCCTCGCCCAGTGTGTGTGAAAAACTAAGAGCACTCACCCCATGACCCCTCCACAGCCTCGGAGGATGCCTAAGTGACATCCAGGCCCTGGGGTACCTCCTCCAGGGTTAGAGTGATGGTACTGGCCATCTCTTCCTCCTCCTGCTACTCTAGCTGGTCGTCATCCTCCTCCTCGTCATCTGGGACCCCCCAAGCGGGCAGTGATGGGCATCTCCACTCCCAAGTCCACAAGCAGGGGTGAGGAAGAGGCTGTCCCGGCCCCCAGAATGCAGTGGAGCTTATTGAAGTAGAAGCAGGAGTGGCGTTCTGCCCTAGTGCAAGAGCTGCACTCTGACCCTAGTGTGGCCCTGCTGGAGCTCCTTCACCGGACCTGCTCATGGCTCCAAAACTCTTGTGGATTTGTCTCATGTGCATGACTGCTCTTGCTACGTTAGTGACATATGAGGAATTCAGTGGATACGCATGTTGGCTTAAACTTGCTCACTCAAAATTTAGGAAGGATGAAGTGAGAGAGGGAGAGACCCCATTTGTTGGCTATCATTTATCCCTTAAAGTGCAGAAATATGACTAGCAGAGTTCATGGCATTCTTTGCAAGTCATTATCGATATTGGGAGGCTTTCGGAGACCGGAATGAGGATATAAAAGAGTAGTCGAGTCAACTACTCGCTTACCCACCCGCTGCCTTGCTGCCTCTATATCAGAGGCAGCAGTTTGAGAGGGGGTGAAGCAGGAGCTGGTGCTGAGCGGGGAGCCAGCTTAGAAGCTGGCTCCCCCCTCAGCGCCATCTCTGCAGTGTGTGTGTGTGGCTGGGCGGGGGACGGGGATGGACAGGGGAGGCAGAGGAGCAGCGGTCAGGGACCCAGCACAAGCAGCTTGCCCCTCCTGCACTTACCACTGCTGTGGCTCTGCAGTTTAAATGTAGTAGGAGACAGGCTGCCCGTGTGCCCGGCTCCTCCTAGATTTAAACTGCAGAGCTGCAGTGGGGCCCCTTATCGACTAATTGTGTACTTGGTACAAATACACGATTAGTCAGTTATCCGTTTCTTAACATCATTAGACAAAAAGAATGTGTGTGAGGAGAAAATTTAATATAGGCATACCATTCTTGTTTGCCAATAATCAAGTTATTCAGACTTCAGTTGCATAGCAAATGTGTACTTAAAATGAAAATTAAATTTAATTCTAAATAAAATTAATTACCTAGTTTCCCCTTTTTTGCTTCTCAATTATATTTTTTCAGGCTACCTGTTCCAAGGCGACCAGTGATAAAACAAAGACATGCAGCTTTGCAAGCTCAACACCTTCTTCAGAGAAAAGAAAATGGGTGAGTAATATCTAAAACTATTGGGTATAATCATTTATAAATTATCTTTCACAATCTGTTTTTGTATAGTAACTAGCACAATGGATGTTTGGCCTAAGGAAGGTTCTCCAGCTGGCACTACTGTAATAAATAATCTTGTATACAGGTACAATCTACTATATAATTTAGAGTTGTGCGTCTGTTCAAGAACTCCTCCTAAACAGTAAGAGCTATGACCACCAAATTCATTATGTGGTTTCCTCTTATTCTAATTTAAAGCAAGGTAAGTGCTTGGTTGTGTCAGGCCAATGGGATGTGTCTGAAATGTGATTTTTTTCATAAAATGGAAAGGGAGAGGTCTAGTAGTAGGGATAGTTATACTATAAAATGGCTACAAGGAGCAGCAAGGAGCCAGAGACAAACTCTAAAATACACAAAAAAAACCCAACGAATGGTCTGGTAGCACTTGATAGACTAATGAAACATGTAGATGGTATCATGAGCTAGTCTATCAAGTGCTACCGGACCATTAGTCTGTTATGGAAAAAAACAACAAACTCAGCTACCCCCTGAAGCTCTAAAATACACAGTAGATAGCAGGGGTAGTGAAAGGGACAGCTATCCCAGTGGGGTTATAACTGTCCTGTTCCCCATCTCTGGCTCCTTGCTGCTCCCCTGTGGTCATTACACAGTATTACTATCTCTGCTAGCAGAATCCTCCCTTTCCATGTTATGAGAAACAATTGCACAGGCACATACCATTGTCCTGGCACAACCAAACCCCTGCCTTGCTTATCTTAGGATAAGTGGAAGCTGTATACCAAATTAGGTGGTCCTAGCTCTTACTATTTAGGAGGAGCTCTTAGACACTCACTAAGACACGCTCTCTCAAATACATAATGGAACGCTATGGTTAAAACACTATTCTATGCAAATACTCCTATTGTTGGAGCTGTGCTATTTGTAATGTGATGGTGGGAGATTTCCAAAAATTGCCAATGTAGAGCCAACCTATTCTAGATAAAGACCCATGTTTTAGCCAGCTTAACATGATAGATGATAGTGGGGGTATGTTCTGATCATTCATGCAAGATTATACCATGTTCTAATAAGATCTGATCACGACCCTATTTAAGCATGGCTGTTTTAACTGGCGTAGGTGAGGGAAGAATAGCCGACTACCATTTTTTGTAGTCATGGACTTGGGATATGAGACTGTAAGGAGTAGGGCTTCCCTGTGAATATTATCGGTAAATTCACTCAAAAGATGAGATCCATTTCTGGACACCTACTGTAAAACCCAGCTCCAGCATAAGCACAGAGGATGGACATTTGTTTTCTGCTATGCTTCAACCAGTGATGCTTCTGGTGAGAAGAGGACACAGTAGAACAACCCACTTTACTCTCTTCTTTCAACTACTTTTAAAGTCAGGGAGTGAGGATGACCTGGCTTAATGATTTAAGTGGAGCATGGAAAAGTGGCGTTGGACTTGTTACCCTGGATACATTAAATCAGTGGGTCCCAATCTTTTTGATACTGGGGACCAGTAAACCCATTCACAAGCTTTTGAAGGACCGGTAACATTTATTTGCATATTTGCACATTCATTAAGCAAATTATGAATATGCAAATTGTGTTGCTGGCTCTACCCGTCCAGCGGGTTGTTCTGCCCACTCCGGCCCCAATCCTGGCTGCTTTATTGGCAGGCGCTGGGAGTTCTGCGGCCAGCCTTCTCCCAAAGTCCTAATGCCCACTGGATCTAGGCCTGCCGCCCGGGAACATGCCCGGCAGAGACGCTGCGGCGCTGGGCCCTCTCTCCCAAGAGGGCTGCGCCGCCGTACTCAGCAGTGCGGGGCGCTGCTACCTCGTCACGCAAATTAATAGGATCGTGCACAATAATTTTTCTAAGGACTGGTATTTTTTTCTAAGGACTGGTACTGGACCGCGGACCACACTTTGGGAAACACTGCATTAAATAACAATGGCAAATAACTTTTCTTGTTTTTTCTCATGAGCTTGTCATTATGAACACCTGACTTAAGAAACTAATTCATCAGTTGATTTTGTGGCTGAACAAGCGAGGTTTATTACTTTATAACTGCTCTCTGGAAACTGTATCAGCAACTGCAGAATTTTATAGTCTGCTGAGATTGATAATGCTGACCCAGTATTAGCTTCTGCAGACTTTCCTTTGCTACATGCAGCCCCCAGAAGCAGTGGGGCTACCTGTCCCCCATGCTGCTGTCTCTGATAGAGGCAGCAGCATGGGGGTGGGAGAAGCAGGAGCCGGTGCTTATGGGGAGCTTGGCTTCTAGCACTGCCTCCCACTGCGTACCCCTCTCCCCCTTGTAAATGTGTAACCATTGAAAAATTCAGCAGTTACACATCTACACAAAGAAACACATTTTAACATCCCTGTATCACACTGATGGTAAAGCTTTTATGGAAGCCAGAGCCATCATATTCAAGGAAGCTTCTGTCGGGAGCAATATTTCTTCCTGATATTAACACCTGCATGACATTATTGAGAGACGTTCTTCAGCTGAAGCAGCCTTCTCCAGTGATTCTTAGATAATCATAAGAGTGGCCATATGGGGTTAGACAGACAAAGGTCCATCTAGCCCAGTATGCTCTCTTCTGACGGTGGCCAATGCCAGTGTCCTTGAAGATATGAACAGAACAGGTATCATCAAGTGATTCATCCTCTGTTGCCCATTCCCAGCTTCTGGCAAACAGAGGCAAGGAACACCCATCCCTTTCAATGGCAAGTACCCAGAATGGGTAAATCTGTCCTCCATGAACTTAAGGCTGCTGCTGTTGACTTGTGCATAAAATGATCTTAATGAATTTACTATTGTCAAAAACTATAGAAATAAGGCATCAGGAAATGAATTCCTGCAGAACTGTTAAAGTGCTAGACTAGCTGTTCTTTTTGTGTCTGCAGACTCAGTTCATTATCCTCTGGGGAGCAGAGCAAGTCCAGTGCAACTGGATAAAAGATACATTTTACTGATTTAGCTATGTAAAGGCCGCAGACAAGACGCCTTGAAATTACTTTTATTTGTCCAAGGAAAAGTGTTTGTGTCTTGTTGGCTTAGATTGTTGCTATCATAAAAAGAAAGAGAAGAGTGCAACAGTCTGGCATTCTACAATAGAACAAATCATCATAGACTGTGAGTTTACTGGGAAGATATCAGATTCCATGCACCTCATTCATGTTTCATGACTCTGTCTAGGAATCACTTTGGCTGACCTTGAAACTTGCAGGCCTTCCTGAAAAACTGTAGAATGTTTCATTTCCCATATAACACCTTGTAAATGGAAAAGAACTACATTTTTCCAGATTAGGTTTGACAGAGATGCGTTGCTGTCCTAGGACTTCAATGCTGCCATGGTGTTTGGTCAAGCATGCAGTTTAAGGCCTTCTCTGCATTGAGAGAAGGTTGAATTTATTAAGGTGTGTGTGGGGGGGAGGATTTTTTTTTTTAAAGCACCCAATTCTGTAAATTCAAAAGTACATGTCCTCACTTTTGAAGAGTTTGATGTAGAGCACCCCCAGGCTACCATTGACTTTGAGAGTAATATACTGTTGGCAGCTAACCCACATTTCCTTCTCCCCCGTCTGGATTAGGATCTCAGTGCCTGAAGGTACAAAAATATTCTAGAGGGTGGTTCTGGGTACATTCCAGCATCCCATAATGCACTTATCTCCTTCCTCCCACTCTACTTGAAAGCAATGGCAAATTAGTCTTTTCTCACCCTGTTTTCATGGGTTATCTGTGCAGACGACATATCAGGATAAGCATGAAACTCGTCGGCAGCAAAGTACAATGGCAGTGGTCACTAACCAGTAGATCAGGATCTACTGGTAGATCTTGGAGCCTCTGGCAGGTGATCCTGACAGGTTTGGCCAAGAGGCTATCTAGTGCTGGCACTTCAGCTGGCCCTCCCCCCACTGCTGCTCATCTCCTGCCCTCCCGCCTTTCTCCTGGGGAGCCTCCTACTTTCTGCGCAGGACAGGGGAGGGAGAGAAGGGCGCTAATGTCAAGGTGCCCCCTCCCACTCTATATCCTTTCTCTGTGGAGCACAAAGGGGACACAACATGACTTGGGACAGAGTTTGCTGGCTGCTTTAGGGAGTTCGCCAGGGCCAGGGCAGGGGTGAGCCTGCCTTAGCACTACTGCACCACAACCCAAGAGCCACCTAAGGTAGCTACAGCCCACAGCCTGAACTCCTACCCCAGTCATGAACCCCCCTCCTACACTCCAAGCCACGACCACCCCTGCATCCAAATGCCATCCCAGAGCCTGCACCTAGAACCCCTTCCTACATCCTAACTGCCTGCCCCAAGAGCAGCTCAGAGCCCCTCTCACACTCCAGATCCCTTATCCAAGACCAGAGTCTGCACCCCGACCCTCTGCCCCAGCCTGATGAAAGTGAGTGAGGATGGGCAAAAGAGGGACGATGGAGTGAGCAGGGGCGGGGCCTCAGAGAAGAGACGGGAGGAGGCAGGACAAGGATATTTTATATTTGAGATAGATCTTGGACTGCGCTTAAATTCAGAAAGGGATCTTGTGCTTAAGAAGGTTGGAGACCACTGTACTATGGCAATCACAGCAAACATCTTGTGCCTTTATGATGCAGTATGGCCAGAGCCTGCTGGAACAAGGAAGAATCTGAGGAAGCCATGAACATACTCTTCTGTGAAGCACTTGAGTTAAGCAATTGGTAGATGATGTGGGGGAGAGGAACGGCATTTGATCCTCTTGGCACAGTGGAATGTTGGTTCTGGTGCATGAGACACGTGCAGACTGATGGGACCGCATAGTTATGCAGCTATGGAATGATCAGCAGTGGCTGCAAAACTTTTGTAGGCATAAGGCCACTTTCATGGAAGTTTGCAAATTGTTTTCACTTGCCCTGAAGTGCAGCAATACCAGAATGAGACCTGATAAATTGCGGTTACCTAGCTAACCGTATAGTTGTTGCAATTTGTATTGACTATACAATTAGTCGATAG